GCACCACTCCCATTCTTGTTGTCTTCAATAAGATTTCTGCCAATACATCGAATCTGAATTTCTTTTGAGAGAGGGTGAGAAACTCAGAGCGGAAGCACTGTTGTTTTTTGGGTCGTGTAGTTTTTTTGACTCGCTTAAAAGTGTAGGCTTCAAGGAAAAAAACTACAAAATGGCGGCGCCAGTACTGGATTTTTTTTCTTTCTATTTTATTTTATTTTTTGGCATCGATCCTAATTTTTTTTAGTTACTATTGGTTTGCTCCCACTCCCTTCTGCTCCCGTTAATGTTTAATCCTGTACCGTCCCAATCACGTGATCGTTACTAATACTAACTCCCATCCCACTAGAATCCCACGGGAATCCCGTGACCCGTGGGATTCCTGAAAAAATGTCAGTCTCTACTTTCGAATGTAACCAAATGTATTTTAAATTGGTCTAACTGAGTAGATAGATTTACATCTCGATGTAAAACAAGCTTTTAAGCAGGATTGATCTGGAATGTATTGAATGAATTTGGGAAACTGAGTTAATGTTTCTTCAGTTGGCTTTTGCTGTAAATTAGCTGTATTGAATATACTTAAAGGAGATAATTTCTGCAAGTTTCAAAATGTTAATGGGTCACCATGATCTCTCTTTGATTTACAGCTCTGCTCGTTTTGAGGGCTCTCTCAACATGGATCTGAATGAGATTGCCATGAATCTGGTCCCCTTCCCTCGTTTACACTACCTTGTGCCCAGCCTCACCCCCCTGTACACACTGGCGGATGTCAACATTCCCACTCGAAGGTCTGCTTTCTCGCTGTCAGTGCAGCTATTTTTACTTCCCACTTGTGTTTCCCTCTCCGGTAGTTGAGCTCACACGAAGTCCTCAGTGAGGACCTTGTTGATGTTTATTTAAAACATGAAGAGGTACTGTAGCAGCAAACTCAGCAGCAGATGTTTCCTTCCCAGGATTTTGAGAGATGATTAAAGGTACCTTTAATGTTATAGTGTACAGCTACTTGCAGAATATGCATAAACTGTTTTATACTTTTTTAGTAAAATGGGGGGACATTTTTTTTTTTTTTTATATATATGAAAAAACACTATTCACTGCGGTTAGATTATACACTGCAAAAAATGGAAATCTAAATAAGTCATTTTTGCTCAAATTAAGTGCATTTTTCTTGAATTCAGGAGGTAAGTGAGACACTTTGCCAACGGAACGAGACAATTAAAATAAGAAAAAACAATTTCATTGTTTTATTTCAAGTGTATATTATCTAATTATCTTATTTTAGGAGTAAAAATGCTCATTCCATTGGCAGATCATCTTATTTCCCCGCTCAAATTAAGGGTAAATACACTTCATTTAAGACATTTTTAACTTATTTCTAGATGTTTTTTGCAGCGAGGTCTTTCAGGGATGAGTCTTTTTTTTTTTTTTTTTTACTTTTATTTAATTTCTCCCAAACATACAAACTTTGTAGAAGACTGGTCAAAAACAATATCAGCACTACATCTCACATGTATATATCAGAGTCCGTCCATGTGTTCTATGTCAACAGCGATTGTCCGTTAGAGACCATTTTACATTCCACTCCCAGTGTTTCCAGTGGCTTCCTCCAGATATTTGTGAAGAATTGAAGACTTCCATCAATGTAATGTCCAAGTCTAATTAGAGTCATAACATCAGATATTAGTGATTTCCATAAAGAAATGGAGGGGGGTTCCCTGCCAACCCATTTCACCATAATGGCCTTCCTTACTAACATTAAAAGTGACTGTATCACATGCTCATGTTTTACTGGTGGCTTAGGAATATGTCCCAACAAACACATCAGTGGATTTTATGACACACTTTGACCAATAGCTGTACTGATTCTGGCACATACAGCTTTCCAAAATGACTGAATAACATCACATTCCCACAAACGGTGAAACCTGGTGCCCACAGAAGTTTTACATTTGGGGCAATATGGAGAAGTTCCCACATTGTACTTGCTAAGAATATAAGGAGAAATATATACATTATGCAATATGTTATACTGCATTTCTTTAAATCTGTTACAAACAGAGATTTTAGATGGCAGGAGCAGGATTTTATCCCATAATTGAGTGCTTATTTCACATTTGAGTAAAGTTTCCCAGGATTTCCTCAACCATGCCAGTTTGTCCAGATTTAGCTGATAAATCTCAGAATAAAATTTTGATGTAAAATGTTTGTGATCCTTACTTTCAAGAAGGAACTTCTCCAGTCTATACGAGTTTGTTGGGTGTATCAATGAAGGGATGAGTATTTTTAAATGAAGCTCATCTCTACTCAAGTCAGGACAGTTTGGACTGTTGTCCTTCACTTTCACATCCTTTACAGATTCTAATTGAGATTCAGCTCTGGACTTTGCCTGGACCACACAACCACGCACGCCCACAGGGGGGGACAAAGAGGTCAATTGTCCCAGGCCTAGGAAGAGGGGGCCCCAAAATTGACCCCAACATTAAATGTTTTGATCTGGACAACAGCGGGCTGCAAACTTTAAAATTAATTTGCTGTAAACTAAGGATGTCAGGTTTTCAGAAGTCCGGGGCACAGAAAGAAAAGAGAAAAAGGGAAGATGACACCAAAGGCTTGAGGGATTTTAGGAGTAGATATTAAAAATAAACTGGTGATAAGTCAGGAACAGGTACTGGAACGGAATTGCAGAAAAAAGATGCCCATTCAGAGCCAGGTAAGAAGCAATGCCTTTATCAATGTGATTTGAAAGTATAGCATCTCCTAAGTAGTGTAAGGGAGAAAAACACCTTTTCTTTTAAAGAAACACTTGAGCTTAGAGCCAAAAGAGCAGAGATGGTAGAGGTCTAGGTGCAAAAAGACTGTTGTGGTCCCTGGCCCTAGCAAAGCTGTCAGCTAGCCTGCACACAATAGCATCCTGTCATCTAACCCAGTTCCTTCAGCTCCAGCTCTATGCTAACAGTCATCGTCATGTTAAATAATGAACCTCTGCACCACTCTCAAACATTTAACACCCTCAGGTGGGACTAGAAACATCCTGAATGATTTCACAGCTATAACAGTTTTAAAGAATCTAGTTGTAGCAGTAGTATTAATCTATCTGCATGGAGCTCCATTGTTCATTTCTCAGACAGATTTGAGGTAAAATCTTTCTGAGAAGGATATGTTTTATTGTTATCTCCCTTTTATCTCCTCTTTCTGTCATCTTTTCTCCTTTTTTGTTTGTTTTTCCTTTCCTGTTCTATTTACATTGCAGTGTAATATAATCTATAAAACTCCCTGCATGATTATACTAAAGCTATTTATATGCATAAAACAAGCGGAACACTATGGCGATAGCCGTACTGCTCCACTAGTGAAAGTAAAATCTGTTGGGCTCTTTTTGGCATCAAGTCAATTATTCCCACATTGCCAGACAGACAGGACACTGTTAAAAAGAAAAAAAGAAAGATTTGAGGTAAATTCATCAGCCTCCATTGAAGAAGTTAGACCATCTGGTTTGAATGAAGCTTTGCAAATATCTTGGATTTCGTTTTTAAAGTTATTTTGTATTTAAAGTGGAAAGAAAACAAAAAAGCTCCTGTTGGTTGCCCTGGTCTTGCTCTACAGGACTCTATATATGCAGCTATGGGTGCCCACCTTCTTTGCAGAAAGTTATAGAAATTCTTTACAGGACTATTACCTGGTAGATAATCATTCCAGTTTGTTCCCTTATTGTTTCACCTCAGATTGGATCAGATGTTCAGCGATGCCTTCAGTAAAGACCACCAGTTAATCCAAGCTGATCCGAAACACAGCCTCTATTTGGCCTGTGCTCTGATGGTCAGGGGCAACGTGCAGGTGTCTGACCTCCGCAGGAACATCGAGAGGTAGGAATGCTAACCCCTTCCTTCAAAACACCAAAACATCACAGGATTTGCTTCACCCACCCCGACAGACCCAAAAATGACCTCAACCTTCCTGCTTTCCAATAATACCCCCATTCAGCAGAGTTTCATGACTGCTCTATTCAGCCCCCACCTCCCTTCTGCTTCCCTTTCATTTTTCAGTTTTCCTGAGACATTGATACCTAGACAGGTGTCAGAGCTCATATCTGTGTGAGAACACTCCATTAAAAAAAGGTAGGAGGTAAAGGAGAGGGGAGGCGTCGGCATACTACAAAGTTTCTTCTTGGAATGTTGGCAGGGGTCCGTGTCTGGGATGTTTGTGTATTTTCCCCGGCTCTGCTTCCTCCACTGTCCACAGAAACACATGTTGAGTGTTTTTAGCATTTCTGAGCGGCTGTAAGATCAGTCAGTGGAAAGAGAAACTCCACCTTCATTCTACTCTTTTTTTTAAAAAAGCTATAAACTACGGAAGAGGGTTAGGGCCACTGAAAAAAAAAAAAGTTAACTGATTTTTAAATTTTGTTTCAGTTTAACATGGGAAGCTCAGAATTCTGAGATTAAAATCGCACAGGATAAGCCTGGCTTTAGAGTGTGAGTACCTCTTTGAAATACAAATACCAGATATCACAAAACCATGTTTTGTGATATCTGGTATTGCGTGGGTCCTCCTTGTGGCTGGCTCCAAATCCATTCGGAGTTCCCCCAACAGCTTCAAAATGTCAATGCTGGATAAACGATATGTTTTGGTGATAAATTTTCCTCGTTCATTCCAAAAATATTCACA